GACAACTCTGTATTCTCTGGTCTATGGGATGGAGGCTGTTCTGTCGATTGAAATAGAGGTTTCGTCACTGCGGGTTATGGCTGAGTGCCAGATAGCAGAAGCGGATTGACAGCAGAGCAGGTTTGAAGAACTAATGCTGTTTGAGAGGAGGCTGAAAGCACTGTACCATGTTCAAGGTCATCAACGCAGAATCGCCAGGGCTTTCAACAAGAAAGTTAAGTCCAAGAATCTGAAGGAAGGAGATCTGGTGCTCAAAGATAATCGGGCTCCCATCCATGACCCTAGGGGCAAGTTCAGACCTAATTGGACTGGTCCTTACATCATTAAGATTATTTGGTCGGGTGAAGCCGTCATTCTTATGGACCTAGATGGCCTGGAATTCTCCCAACCAATCAACATGGACAAGTTGAAGAAATACTATCCACTTGAGTGGCTCGCTAGGCCGGAACCCCGGTAGGGTGACCTAGGCAAAAGTTAGAGCACAAAAAATTCAAAATAAGAAAAACTGAGCTCGCAAGGTCGAAAACCCAGAAAGAACGACCTTGGCAAAAGTTGGAGCGCAAAAGGAGAGTGTTAATACACGAGTGAGCCCGAACTGAACTATGTAAGGCTTGATTCCCATCTTCGGGATACGTAGGCAACTTCATTCTGAAGCTCAGCCATAAACATTTCAAACTCAACTGTCCTATCCATGAGATTGTTCAGGTCATCTTTGTCTTTTTTGTATCCAAGAGTTCGGTTGTGATTTTCACTATGAGAGCTGGTTACAGTGCTGAGCAGTGCTATTCAGACAAGGAGCAACTTTCCAGTTACTGGATTCGGGGTTGTACATCTCGAGGATAGATTCCATGTGTGTCGAGTTGTGATCCTTATCGAAAATGGTTTTGAAAATTTTTAATAAAAGTTGATTTTGTTCAAATTAATCTTTTTACAACTTAGACCATTTCTCGACCAAAAGGAAAATTTTCAGTGCCCATGACTTTTAATTCATTGATTTCAATACAAAGTTCCCCAACTCTTGATACAAATCGAAGTTTCTTTTTTTATTACATTCAAAAGGAAAACTTGAAAGTACAGATCAAAGCAATAAACTTGGGGCATAGATGAGTCAGGTGTTCCTGTGTCCCCTCCCTGAGCTTGTGGAAGCCTTAGATGTTAAAGTAGGCCCGATTTGTGCCTCATCTTCAAGCCAAGCCAGGCATTCGCCAGAAAGGGCGCAATTGAAATTGGGAGTAGGAGCCAGAAGTTCTCTTATTCTCCATGTAGTGGGATATTGGGCTAATTGTGAACGTTGGATTGGAAATGAAGTCGGGTGCTCTACCTCATCTTCTGGGCAAGTTTGGTTGTGTCCGAACTGACGCCTGAACCGGAATGGAAAGTAGAAGACACAGTGTGTCAGGTCAATCAGCTGAATGCCAGGTTGTCGAGACATACTATAGCTCATCTCAGGTAGATCAAACCAGGGGCAACGCCAAGCAATGTCAACAGCAGACCTGTTGCACATCCAGTGGCACCACTACCCCTCGTTTGGGAAATCAACTAGCCGTTGGCGAAAAAAATAGCCTCGTGCTGAATATGCAGGGCAAGAGTCTACTACCTTCAACCTGTCCATGAGCCATATCTGGGGAGGGATGAAAGAAAAGAGAGATTAAAGAATAGAGAGGTGTATGTGAAGAGAAAAGTGAGAAAGGGTTTTGAGAGAAAAACAGAACATGAGTGCCAAGTGATGTGAGAAACACATGTGAGATAGGGTGGGAAACATTACCTGCAAAAGTAGTGGACTTGCTGTAAATTTGGTTAACTCCCGTTGATGGAAGGCGTCCAAGCCCATCAAAGTCTCGGCTAATGTTAAGCCAATACAGCTTTTTCCCTCTTTCAAGCCTTGGGCCACTTCAATCAAGCGAATGCTAGACCCTCCGAAACCAAGGGCAAGCAAAAAATGAGCCAGCATACACAAACAAAGGGCATGCTGTCGAAAGCTTTACCAGAGACGGTCACCGCGGTTGCCGGCATAAGAAAATCGATGAATGAGGCTGGGAAAATCTAGCTCTCCGTTGTGAACCAAAGATCGAGCCTCGTGAAAAGTGAGCCCACACATTCTTTCAAAAGCTTGGATGTGACCAACACGGGACTAAGGCAAGATTTCCTCGTCATGCTGGGATTCCATCAAAACTCAGAATTTTTCAATTGTAGGGCATATCTCTTGCCCCCCCGAAGCTGAAAACATGTGTAACCGGGTTCTAACACCTAGCTGCCGCATGTAAGAATAGAAAACACAGTGGGGTACGACTTCGCGGGAATAGTGCATTTATCCCAAAACCCTGGAAATTTAATTTTTTCGAGCCATCAAAAGTTGTAATCTAATTTGAGAGTTTTTCGGCAAAGACTAGCTCCATTTGTGGAAAAAATAGAGCTGGAATGAAGAAACTACGAAGTCCTAACTTTTGTAGAAGATAAGGCACTGAGTGGAAGACAGGTGGCAGCAATCTGAAGGCCCCTTGCGCTGATGGCCGATTGGCCAGTGCTGGTAGCTGACCGGCCACCATTGGTGGCCGACAACCTCTATTCATGGCCGATAGCCTCCTGGTTTGTCCTCTAGTCCATTTATGAGTTGAGAGTGGGAAGAACCTGTGTTTTGTTCTGCTCTTGGTGCATTCTGCTATCTTGTTTTAGTAGTTTTCTTGAGTTGCTTTTATGTTGTTTCAATTTGTTTATCGAGTTGTTTCACTTTGCTTATCGAGTTGTATTCGTTTTGCTTATGGAGTTGTATTTGTATTGTGTTGCTTATCGAGTTGTTGCATTGTTCATCGAGTTGTTTTTACTTTGTTTGGTAAGTGTTGGTCGGTTCATTACCTGAGTAAGAAAATGCCAATACAATGTACAGTTTTCAATGTCCATCAATCTTGTTTTTATGCAATGTGGTGCTCGTACGGTGCTCAGGATGTAAAACACGACACTTTTTCGTCAAAAAGTTGTTTTCATTCCGATCATGGTCACTTTTTACAAAAGAGTACAAGTTTTTAAAGAAAATAAAATTGTCTAAGCTGTACAATGTGCTAACACTCATAGCAAAAAGAAACTAAGCAAAAATATATGGATCAGTGCTAGCTATTTCAGTCTCGAGAGGCCCTCTTCATCCTTTTCTTGGGCACGGACTCAGAGTTGTCTCTGTCAGCGCCGCTGTTTGTGCCTCCCTCTGAACCAGAACCTGAACCAAAGTCATCACCGCTCTCTGCCTCAGAGTCTGGCTCAGCATCATCTCCACTAGCAGAACCCGAGCTAGCATCAGCATCTCCGCTCTTGGATGACTCAGTGTACTGACCCACAACCTCCTCGGACTCGCTGGTCTTATCATTGTCGTCGCTCATGATAGGCTCTGAGGGGCTCCTTTGATCTTGATCGCGGTGTTTCCCTCGGCCACGTACCGGAGCTTGTCTCTCTCTCCTTGCTGCTGGAGGGGGAGCTGATGGTCCTGCTACTGCTGCTGCCGGTGCTGTCGGTAAAGGTGGAACTTGAAAAGGCAGTTGGTATATGTCAGCCACAGTATGTGTATCGGATGCAAGTATGGTGTGCAGAATGAGTACATGTAAAAGTTAGGTGCAGAGTATGAATACAGTATGAACATGCAGTGTGTCAGATGTGATCTATACATGCAGTGCATCAGTGCAATGTGGGGAACTGTTTAGTCGAAGTGTTAGTTTCAATATGTCAGCGAAAATGTGATGACTAGGATATAAGAAAACTGGAAAAATTGCCTGAATGTTGTGGAAGTTGAGTAGTGCCTCCCTCCGCAAGATCATGTCCTTAAATGAGGCTAACATCTCGAGCAATCCCTCGACATACCCTGCGGGTGCCTGTAAATACAATTTGGAATGATCAGTGTTCGGAAGGAATGAATGTCTAAGTATCTGAGCAAGAATGAAAAATAAGAACCGTAGTGCATACCAGAGGTGAATCAGGCGTTCTAACATATCTGTGACCAGCCACCAGAGGCTCAATCGGAATCCTGTAAGCCTCTTTGGTGTACTGCCAACCTGTCAACTCGGTCTGAAGCTCTGGCCAACCAAAGCTTTGCCTAGCGGGGGGTACCCCTCTGGCCCTACTCCTCGGCGCTCGATCCCTGCTCGTCGAAGGGGCGTTAACTGTTCTCCCACGAGCATGAATACCTGTCAAAGGAGGCATGAGATGCGTCTGGATATATGTCGCATAGTCCCCCTCACCAAGAAAGTAGTCGGCCTCCACGCCTCGTGTAAAGTTGATCACCTCCTGGGAGGAGAGACTCTCTGTAGCCCGCATGGATGGCGGAAGTGGCATGGGAACCGCCTGTGAGGGCAAACCCAAGGTCTGGCACAGGAAGCGCTCGCCTAAGAACCAGACTAGGCCTACTGGTCCCTCAAGTATGAGCCGGTAACAAGAAGCACCCTAAACACCAGCAAACTAGAATCTGACACCCTTAGGCATCGTCGCCCAGGGTTGCCATGAGATCTGCAGACAACAAATGTACAGATTGTTAGTTGCCATTAGATATGCAATATGAATCAGAGCTGAAGTAAAGTAGAAAGAGTTGTGAGTTTTAAGTCACCTCCGCGGTGGTCACCGTGTCAAAATATCTGCGGAAGAATGGAAAAGTCTCTCGTGTCCTCTGTAGGCATCTCCCGTCATATCGGTGAGAGTATGGCACGACGGGGGGCATCTTGACCTCCAGCTCTGGGGTAAGTGTCTGAAAATATGCATATACCCATAGCTGCAAGAAGCAAAAGGGCGACAGTTAGTATATAACAGATAAACACAGTTGATGCGAAAAACATAACATGTGTGCAATGTCTAGAGAATGCAGAAGGAAAAGAATGCAGAATGCAAAGAATACAGAATGTAGAGAAAATACAGAAAACAGAGTATGTAGTGCAGAGCAAAAATCAGACTATGTGTGTGTAGTGTACAGAAAGTGCAAAGCGGAAAGCATGGTAGGAAATGTAAAGTAGAAAAGTAAAGCATACCTCCTATGCTCTCCAGTAGCCGCCCGCTCTGTTCCCGCTCCTGTGGGATGTTAAGCTCATGTAGTTGTACAAGGTAGCGAGGCCAACGCCGCCCCAATCGTAATGTCGGACCTGAGACAAGTCCACCAAGGCACTCAAGAGATATAGCCCAACAGTGTTCACCCTGTCGGCGAACAAGGTGGTGCCAAAGAGGAACATCTGGAAACCTCGGGTGTGCTGCTCGATCTCCTCTAGGGTCTTTGGCTGTGTCTCTCTGAAATGATCCGCAAACCAGTTGTACCAAACTGTCCCCAATCGAAAGAGAGGTGGGCGTGTCCCCAGCAGGTAGATCCAGGCGGCCTCCCACTCGCCTATGTCTGTATCATACGGGATCGGTCGACCCCTTACCTCGATGTCGGTGAGCATAGAAAAGTCATACGGAGTCATCGTCATGTCTTCCACGGTAGAGAAGTGGAAAGAGTTGGTGGTGTCCCACCACTTCTCTACCAGCGTGCCAAGTAGGAACCTGCTCGTTATAAGACACGATAGCCCCACGCAGAATAAGCCAAACCCGGCCTTGTCAATAATCTGGCAGACGCCAACGGGGAGGTCCATATACCACTCTCTCACAGATGTGGTCCCATATCCTCGGGTAGAATGAGAGTCCCCCTGTAATCAAAATGAGCAGATAAAAGGCAGTGTAAGAAATACAGTGTAAGTGTGATCTATATAGCGCAAGTGTGAGCTATGCAAGAAATGCAAGGTACATTGCGGAAAATGTAAGAAGACAGTGTATACCTCGGTGGCGCTGTAGGATAAACGAAACTCCGGCTCTCCTAATAAGAGATCTGCTGGTGCACCTCATGCAAATCCTCTGAAATGACGGACTGTATCGGGCGGTAGCACGTGCACCTCGGGGTGGTATGTCTCCGGGTGAAAGGGTCGAACCCTGGGTGGTAATGGGATGTGCTCGAGATTTCCCTCCATCCCTGGAGAACCTTCGTCATGGGGAATGCTGTCTGCCATCTGGAAAGGAGATGAGAAAGTGGGCGAAAATGAGCAAAATGGGTGAAGAATGCCAAAAGTCAACAAAAGTCAACTTTGAGAGAGAGAAAATGGGAGAAAAAGTCAAAGCCTGGGAAAAGGCACAGAACCCAAGAGTAACTCGAGGGGAACAAGCCTCAAGTGGTGGAAATGGAGAAAAAAACACCGAAAACAAATTCCAATCGGTTCAAAAACAAACAAAATCAAGAGGTTTTAGCGAATCAACTTCGCATAGGGCGTTGGAAAATGCGTATAAAGCCTGGATCTGGGGAAAAGAAAGGTCTAGGGTGAAAGAGGAGTGAATTTCGGCTAAGGAGGTGTGAGAAAATGAAGTTTGGGATTATGTATTTAAAGACCCGAATGCAAAAAGACCAAATGGCCCGAATTGCCATTGGTGGCCGACAGGTCTCTAGGGTGGCTGACAAGCTTCCAGTGTTCTCCTTGTGTATTTTGCTGCTATTTTGTGCCCTCAGTTGTCGAGAAAGTGCAAGAAAAGTTCACTTTTAAGTTCAAAGTGTCTCTGCGGGAGCTCCGAACCATGTGTTCGGTGCATGACTCCTCACTAGTCAACATGAACGAGATGTATCCTTTCGAAACATATTGCAACTCCTCCGAGAGGTAAATTGAAAGTTGCGATTGAGTTGTTTTTATCAAGCACGCTTTTGTTATTGCATAGAACATACATCTCTTTGTCGTTGCATGGAACGTGTCTTTCACATGTGATCTTTCATAGACTGTGTATTCCTCGCATTTGCATAGACCAGGCTTTTGTTTCCTATTCGCATAGAGAATGCATTTGGTAGAACATGCTATTAATCTTCCGTTGAACATGCATTTTCTACAATCGATCATGCATAGAACATGCATTCTATATCGTTGCATCGAATATGCATTTCGACGCTGCATAGAACGTGCTCCGATTTTCACTTCATAGAGCATGCTCCCAATAATCATGCATAGAACATGTTGTTACGACATTTGCATAGAACATGCTTTGCTTATCTTGCGTAGAACATGCACTCTTACTATATTATGCTTGTTAAGTTTCTTTCTTATGCAAGCACGATATTGTATGTACGGTTCATTTAGAGGAATTCCAAGTGAGACCACTCCTGTCCTTTGATCGACCTTGTTTTGGTTAGACGCATTTGGACGTGTTCCAATGTTTATACCACACCCTGTTTCGGTTAGAAACATTGGGACGTGTTCCGATGTTTATACCACCCCCGGTTAGAAGCATTTGGACGTGTTCCGATGCTTATACCACTCCCTGTTTTGGTTAGAAGCATTTGGACGTGTTCCGATGCTTCTACCACACCTTGTTTTGGTTGGAAGCATTTGGACGAGTTTTGATGTTTATACCACACCCCTTGTTTTGGTTAAAAGCATTCGGGCGTGTCCTAGTGTTTACACCACTCCTTTTGGTTAGAAACATTCGGGTACGCCCGGTGTTTACACCACCCTCTTCTCCTCTCGCGTGCGACGCGTTAGGACGCTTTGGTTAGAAACATTCGGGTACGCCCGGTGTTTACACCACCCTCTTCTCCTCTCGCGTGCGGCGTGTTAGGGCATTTTCGATTAGAAACATTCAGGTACGCCCAGTGTTTACACCACCCTCTTCTCCTCTCATGCGTGACGCTAGGACGCTTCGGTTTAAAACATTTAGGTGTGTCCCTGTGTTCACACCATCTTTCTCCTTGCGTGTGCAATGCATTGGAATCTTGTTTGACACCTCGGGTGCGCCGATAGTTGTGTTGTTCTTTGCCTTTCCTGCGTGATGCGTAGTTAAGCTTGCATAATTTTCTTATATCTTTTCTGCATGAAATGTGGTTTGGTTCGTATTTATGCCTAGTTTGGCTACTCCCAAAAAAGTGCACTTATTTCATCTTTTTATCTTTTTTGGGTCACATCAATCAATATCTCCTCTCTACTTTTTCTACACATAATACAAAAAAAGTCAAAAAGTGCACTTATTTAGTCTTCCCAAACTAGGCCTTACTTACTTCTTTCGTGTATGAGATTGCTGTAGCATTTCTTTGCATAGCACTTGCATCTAGATGTTTCATTATAGCCTCATTGCATGATCATAAGTTATGTTTTTGCATTGTGCATATCATTTGCATCTTGCTCCAGAGCTACGCTGGTTTGATTCCTTGCAAAGGGATACGTAGGCAGCCGACGGGCGCAACCGTTCTTTGTTTTGCTTGTTTGTTTGTCCAAGTCTTCGGCCTTGTCAAAATAGGTCGTCTCTGGGCTTTGACATTCACTCACGTCATTTCATGACTTCCGAGTTCTGGCAAAGAGGGGCAACTGTAGACACCCCATTTTTGACCGTCCTCAAGACTTGGACGTCATCGTTTGTGCACTCGATGATTGTGCTTGTTTGTGTTCGTTTTGAGTGCCCGAAGTCCTCGGCGAAACGCCTTGTCTTTGAGCCTCTAAACCTTACTGTTTTGTGCATGTTTTTGGACCAAGAGCTTGTTGCCTCTTGCCTGGAGAGGAGGGTGACCTGTTGGCTAGCCCTGGGACTTTTCGGCCATGGGTTGTGCCCAACGGCCACCAGTGGTGGCCGACGGCCATTGGTCTCTTTTTTCAGATATTTGTTTGCCAGCTGTGCCAACTGTTGCTCATTGAGCTGCATCTTCATACACGTGTATGGAGGGATGTATACAAGCTCAAACCTTGTTTTTCTATATATAGGGGGTGTCCTCCCCCATTTTGGGGGGTTAGACATTTTAGACCAAAATCTCTCTCTTCTCTCTCTTTCTCTTTCTTGTTGTTTTGTGCTTTGTAGTTAGTTTTCTCTACACTTTTGCACACTAACCCTTAACCAAACTTGACCACCTTGGAGCTGAAGTCTCTTGGAGCCTAGTTTGAGCCTTGGAAGAAGGTTTGAGTTTGAAATTGTGGCTGTTTTGCGCTGTGCTTCAAAGGTATAAAACTTACCTTGCTTAAGCTTGTTGTGCATACTAACTTTGCCATCTTTTTCAACTGTTTTAAGGCTATTTTTGAAGTGTAAAAAACTCTATTTTTGAGGCATAAAAGTGGTGGTTTGAGCCTTTGTGAGTTAGGGGGTTGTCTCTTCCTTTTGCTCCTTAGCTTGTGAAGCTTTTTGTGCTATTTTTCATCACCTTCAAATCAAACGTTTTGGGGCCTTTTGACCTTTGAAATTCAGAGGTTTTTCAGTGGTAAAAACTTTGTTTTGAAGTCCAAAATTAGAAGGGTTAACCTCTCCTCCTTGTGCCTTATTTGCATGCCTAGTTAGCTTCATACGCTAGCTTGTTTTTCTAGTTTAACTTAGCTTAATCTCAGCATGTTTTTGCCTCTGTTTTGACCTGTTTTGGCTTTGTTTTGGACTGGTTAATTCAATTGAGGCTTGTATTTTATGGTTGTAGTGCAATTTCCTTCACTAGTTTGTTGTTTCAATGCTTTGATCATCTTTCTTTTGAGTTAATGGCATGATTTAGTGTTTTTTTGCACTCCATTACACCACTTAACATCTTTGCAACCTCCCTTATTTCTTCACTTTTTCATTTGCTTTGAGGGTTGGTTAACCTTTGGGTTGTGTTTAAGCCTGAGATCGAGGTTCGTGCTTAATGGTTTCAATCAGCTTTTGAGGGTTTCTACTAATCAAAGGCATGACCTCTCTCTTGCCTTAAATCATCCCTTGGTTGACACCTCTTCCATTAGAGAACACTCACCATTGGACTTAATCGATTAAATAATTGATCGGTAATGTAAAATGAGTAAACAAAATGAACAAAGTAAAATAGGCAAGATAAGCATCTTTTGTGTTGTATTGCATGTGTTCGGATCGGACGTTAATTCGAACACGAGAAAAATGGGACGTTTCATACTAAGTGATGAAATGTGCCACTTTCCTTGGTCACCATCACCCTTGATCATGCATGACAGGGTAGTGGTTTTGTTGAGTCTTGTTTTTCACTCATTAAGCTTGTACAAGCTTGGTTCCTTAGCCATCATGCATGGAAAATGCTTGGTTGATGGTTTGAGGGCCAAGAGTTACGCTCCTTTGAGCTTGTGTAATGATAAGGAGAGTAACAGTACAGACAAACCTTGAGAATACACTGCTTTGCCTCTATTTGCTCTCTATTGCAGCAAAAAAGGAAGTTCAGGGAAGGGGTGGCCGACCGGCCACCAATGGTAGCCGACAGGCCATCAATGAAGAAGGTTGCTTTATGTGCTCCTAAAGGGGATCATAAGTTTTCTGGGAGTTGCCATAATTTTCAGTGGTCAACAATGTGCAAACAGAGGCTGCAATGGCAAGGCGGTGGTATTTTCGGGCGGAGAAGCCGAGCATGCATGCGTCTCTCGCCCTTCGAGGCCATTTACTTGCTTTGCTTAAATTAGTTAGTTGTAGCTAATTCATTCATACAAGTGTTGTAACTATTTAGTTATATAGCGATCCCGGGTTTACCCTTATTGTACAGTGATCCGGACATGTGTCCGTGGATGTTGGTAGTTGTTTATTATCTTGTTTACATCATTTTTACTTAGTATTTGAGTTATGGGATGTGTTGGGCGGGTTTGTTACAGGTTGGTCGAGTTTA